CCTCGTCGCGGGACTTGAATTCCCTGCCTGATTTCAAGTCGGTCGGTCTTGTTCTCCTTCCAAGTTGTGCGGCGCCGGCGACACGGGCGGGCGCCATTAGGCGTGGCGTGCGACTTCCCCAACGCTCGCTTCGATGGCGGTGCTGGGGGCGGCAGTGGGATTTGCACACAATGCCGCTGTAACTCAGCTCCAAATTTTGCCTCTAAATGCCGTTGCATTGCCGCTCCAAATTGACGCAACCGATAGTATTATTGCTTGCCGCCACTCGGGCACAATGAACCCGACGCGATCTACGGGTTGAGATTGAGGTTTTCTCTTCCACACGCCATACTTCCTTGTAATGACACGGCGTAAAACATAACTCTCTATATTTGTTTTAGTTGGTTTTATTTTTCCTGCGCATCTCTTTCAATTCTTGGCTGTGAGGAAATATTTTGATAATATTGAGCGCCACACGACAAATGCCTACGCAAATGATACACTAGCAGAGAGAGTGAGAGCAGCAGGGATGTAGAGTCTGTGGGATCGATGGCCCCACGAGGGCTTTTCCCGCCGAGTGTCAGCCTGTCGTACTCGGGGTAGGCAACGCGTCCGCGCCCCTGCCGAGCGGGACTGCCTGCCGCGCCGGGGCGGCGGCGGCCGGCAGCAGCAGCGCTCCAGCAGCGGCCGGGCTGCTGTTGGGCTGTCGGGCTGTGGGCGGACGGATCCAAACGGATCCCTCCTTACTCCAAATTCGAGAGCTCTGGCTGTGCTGTGTGTGCGTGCGGAGGGTGAGGAGAAGGAGGCGGCGCGTGTTTGTTTCTGTGACGGCGGCGCTCACAGAAGCATGATGTGGTTTTGCCACGCTGGGCACGTCGCTGTGGAGGAGGGGGAGGGGGAGGATGAGGAGGACGCGGCGAGGGGTGTGGCGGCCTCGGCCCCCCGCGGTAGGGGTAGGGGGGCGCACGGATCAGGACGTGTCAAAAGGAGCGGTCTAATGGTTCTCCCCCCACCCTCTCTCCCCCCAGGTGCGCGATGGTGGATCATATCGACGGCGGCCATGATTGATGCGGCTCTGCGCGCAATTTGTTAACGGCGGATGTGTTATGATTGACACGTCTGCGCGGCGTTGGGGTATTTTCGCTCGTTTTGGCGCGCGCTATTGTGGCGCGCGGCGGGAGGAGGAGATGGATAGGTTGTGTGGGTCCGGATCGAGATGAGGAGGGGCGGCCGATTCGTCAAAAGAGGAAAATGCGAAATAAAAAAAGTGGCTCGCGTCACGCTGCCGCCGCCGCAGATGGGGTCGGGTTGAAAACGCCAATGACTTGACGTGTGTGCATGTAAAGCAGGCTTATGCCATTCGACGCCGGGCACCGGGGAGGTGGGGGAGTCGGATTGGGGGAGGGGCTTTTGTTTTGGTCTCGCTCTGACCCTTCTCCATCTCCCCTTGCTCTTCCCCTCTCCCTCTCGGTT